TTTAACTAAAGCAACTACGGGCAGCGTTAGAACTGTGTTAGAAAGGCGATTATGAGAAAAACACGCAACCAAAATACCGCTATTTGTATGCCATATTTATGATTCCAAGCACTTTTTTTTTTTAAATACTAGACTTCGATAATATTTCATCCCGTAATCGAATGCCATAAAACAGAGCTGATTCTGTACTGTCCCGCGCAAGGACCGACAACTTGTTCTGGTTTATTCGAAGTAATATCGGGTGAAGCACTCGATCGAAATCCCCAAACCCATGTCCACAGAAAGCGTCTTTAACTTTGAAGTAGGGTAAACTGGCTTCTCTTCCGATTGCTTCTTTGAAGTTTTCGAGAGATATTTTGTTTGTTATCCCCTTTTTTGGCGTTTCTGCAAAGCCCCGCAAGAAGAAAGAGCTCCCGCGAAAGCTCCCCACGCAAGAATTTACGCGTGTCACGGAGTTCGAGAGCTTAGAGTCGGTGAAATGAAAAGCAAACAAAACGTTTTTTGATAAACGCTTTTGCGCGTCTATATTGTTTTTTCTTCTTTTGTTTCGATTTCGTAGTTGTTGGAGACGCTATCTCTAAAAAGAACAAGAACATAAAAATAAAAACTTTGTTCTATTTCTTTCGGGGCTTTACTAGAAGCTGATCGGTAAAGCCCGCACTACCACGGAGAGTTGTGTGTGCGTGTGTGTGTATTTTGTAAAGAAATGTTTTATTCGTTGTTTCGCAAATTTATATGTTGCGCTCCTCTGGGAGTCGTTCCCTTTTATGGCTACAGGAGGAGGTGCGAGTGTTGTGGCGCCCGACTGACGGAGATTCTTAAAAAAAAAAAAAAAGGATCAAGGCTGTGTTGGAAATAAGACTTCGCGGTTTCCTCATCGTAAACAAAAAAAACTTTTTTTTTTATTTATTTAACGGAAATATACTTTTCGAAAGTGCGCGCCGTTTAGTAGTTGCTTCGCCAATCATTCATTGTTTCAATCACGTACTCTGACCCTGTATTTGACATGATGACTGCGTCGACGTTCGACGTGAAGTCGACTCAGCACGTACTGAGCGGAAAAAGCTCCGTATAATCACTATTTCAGTTCCATAAAAAAAAAAAGCATTTTCAGGCGATTGAAATTAATCCTCAGCCTTCCGATAGGTCGTGCCAGATTCCCTCCTTGGCTCAGCACGTAAGAAAAAAGAAAAAAAAAAGAAGTTTGATTTGAGTTTGTTTTAAGAACGAGTAGCCGGGTCGGCGTTCGTCCAGTACTCGAATTCAGTCCCACGCTTCGTCCCCAAGAAATGGCGGTTATCCAACGTTTGAAACTAATATTTAAAAAAAACAGCCCATAAGTACTTAACAAAATCGGGGGTCGTGGAGCAGATAATACCCACAATCAGTCGGGTAAAATTTTGAATTCTAAACACGGACTCCTTTCGTAGCTCTTTCGGGGGATGTTGTATTTCCCGTGTGCGTTCTCATGTTCACCGTGTATTTCTCATTAGATCACACGGTTTCTTTTCGCTGATTGGTAAAATGCATCTTATAGGGTATTAGAGGGAGAGGACTGGTCGTGAATTTATTACATTGTTCGAGCGCGCGAGAGAACTCGTCAATATAAATTTATAGAAGTATAAAAATAAATTGAGGACCGATTTTTTGGTTCTTCGGGTTCTCTTATGTATGCTATGAAATCGTAAAGTAGTGTATAACAATAAACGCCTATGCAACGTCTCGGGGTCCTGAAGGTAAAAATGTAAAGTAAATAATTATAAAAATATATATTAAAGCAGCGGTAGTGACTTTTATTTCCCAAGTTCTATAATGAGTCGAATGCAATATTTATATGGGAGCGTTTGTTTAAACTTCTTTAGATGACATTGAACCGTTGTTTCGGGGAGTGAAGAAAACATTGTTCATTATTTAACGTCAGGTGACCTGGCTTCACAGTGTCAAGTCGCTGCGTCATGTGACGGTTGTGATGTTATGCGACCTGGTGTTACGTGACACCGCCAACGTCCCGTGGCTTCAACTCACGTTACGGTTATGCATACGTCAGGAAGCGTGGCGGTTGCGTATACCACGGCGTATATGCGCAGATGCGTGGACGCACGAACGGACAAATTTCTAGGAGTAAGGGTTGCGTGTTTTCGCTGTAAACACAAATAAACACCGAAAAACTCTTATCGAGTCTCCCTTTCTTATCTGGTACATGGTACGTTTTCCAAATATCCGGGTAATACGCATGTTCCTCGGGGCTTGCCTTCTTTCTTTCTTTTTCAACATGAGCCCCGATAAACACCGATTTTTTATCCGACACCGAAAATCGACACAAAATAACACTAAATATTTTGATAAAAAATAAACACAAAACACACACACGAAATCGAAGAAAAAACAAACTCCGAAAACACGAAACCCTTGTTACAAATTATTCCATGCATTCATAAAATGTCTACGAATAAAAAAGCCTAGGCGTAGAGCTTGAACATGCACACTTTTTTCATGTGATCAAGTCTACCCTCGCGACGTACCACAAACAAATACTTTACCCAAACATATTACTAATTATTCGAAGGAATTAGATCACGCAAAAGCTTGAGGGACACCTAAGCACGTCTTATGAGTTGTGAATACGAAAGCACGCACGCCGCTCGTCCGCTTTCTTTGTCGTCTGCTGCGTACTTTTCGTCGCCGGTCAGCGCGCATCCTCCCCTGGGCACGCTGACCTTAGACGCTCTGCGTTAACGGCGCGCTGATGGATACGCAGCGCCATGGATGAGCGGTCGTGGAAACTGACGAGCGCAGCGGTCAATGGGAGCCCCGTCGACGCGCGCCAGCCAATGGAACCGAAGGCGAAATCGCGGAAACGAGGTGCCGTTTTCGAGCTTCAAACTGATAACGTCAGCTCGCTCCATGAGACAGTTAATGCTTTCGCATTAAAAACAATCAGTTCCCAAGACGACTCCGAACTCGAGAAGCAAAACGCACTGCGGTGGGCTTCCCCACATTTTGAGTTCAGATGCGGGAAAGCACGCTTGCCGTGACCAGCTTCAGGCAATCGTCGACGGCAGGATAATGTGCACCTTTCCTAGATCGTTTAAACCACCCTGCCCGCAATGCTTTCGTCAACGAAGGCCCTACTACTGCTCATGCGCGCCAATAGCCTTCTCCGCAATGTACCTGATCTCGTAGCTGGTTACAAAGAGCTCTGAACGGGCGGCGGAAGCGATTTACGAAGTGTTCCTAATACACATCCGTCCTCCGTTTCATTTTAAAAAATGAACTGCAGTGGGATGCTACGGGCCAACGGAGCCAACCGCACGTCGAGTCAGTGTCCCGCGACTTCGCGCACCGCGCGTCCCTGCACCCGACCGGAAGGCCATAGGACCCGCTCTCAACTTTCGACTGGATTCGATGGTTCGCAGACTTCGCTCATGCTCATTTTTAAGTTTTCACTCGCTAACACATGTTGTGGTGTCTGGTCACCGGCTAGACCAGCTAGACCAATCACGCACAAAAACAAAAGCACGGGATCACGGCGACGCACCTAGATGGCCGTGACGATGCACTTTTTGGCGATGTTGGAATCGCTCCATCGGACCTAGTGGGAAATGGGTTGTAATTTTCTTAACCGTCTATTCCTCGTTCACCCTTAAGCTGAGACTAAACGTTCCGCCTTCAGCGCGAGCTTTCTGACCTCTCTAACAAAAGTGCGAACGCACAGGGCACGCGCAACCAAAGCACCGCGGAAGCCAGCGAGCTCGCGCTGAAGGCGAAGGAGTTTTTAAGTTTCAGCTTAAAGGGTGAACGGAGTATATAGTTCCTCGGACCTGTTCAGAACGTGGCGGACAAAAAGCAAACAATGCCGAGAAAAACAGTAACAAACAAACAACGATAAGAGCTTAAAAAAAGAGAAGGAAAACGCATCTTGGGAGGCGCCCAGGTGAGCGTACCTGTGAGGGAAAACCCAGGTAGGCCCGAGGGAGCCGTTCAACAAGGAACCGATTCCACAGGTTGGAGACGTGCTCTCGGCCAGCCGAGACACGCCGATCGATGTCCCGTCGCTCGGGCAACGCCGCGTGCTTTTAGTCTCCCGCGGAGCTGTCCGCGTGCCCAGACGAGCCGGCAGAGCTCCGTGCACAAAGCTCGCAACAATGACCAACAAAATGTTTGTAGGGAAAACAAATACACACTTACATAAAAACGAGAAAAAGAAAACTATAAATGAATACATGTATTAGAGGAGAACCTCAGGGGCCGTGAACCAGAAGCCGGCAACTAGTCTGGCGGAGTTTGCGTTTCGGATCAAAGCTTATCTAACAAACGGCAGCATGTTCCGTCGCCCGCGTTCAGAGATGCCTCGCTTCATCTCTTGTTTTCTGTTTTTTTTTTTTCCGAAGTGTGAAATTTATTTGGTACTTAGTGTGTACAGCTTCCATCACAGGGAACTTCAGTACGTTTCCAGCTATGCGGGCGAACAACGAGGCGTGCGAGCTATAGCTAAAGCAAATAACCCTTTAATCGGGCAAGCATGCCGGGAGCGGTGAAAACCTTTTCTAAAACTTGCTTTTGCTCTCAGTTTTTATCGTAAATTCACGTTGCGGTTAAAAACAAAAACAAACATACACACACTAAGTGTACAAGCACGTGACGGGGTCCGTCACGGCACCGTAGGTCGAAATGACTCGGTGTTCCAAAACAAATGATAGTTGTCACATTTAGGCAGTTTGAGGTCCTGCTCCAATAGCTAAATGTTCCTCCCCGCTGCAATAAACTTGAACGGCGGACTTCGGGTACAAACATAGGCGCCTTTAACGCAGATCACGAGCCGCGACAAAACGACAGGTCGCCTCCCCAAAGTTGAAATCGGCGACGCCGAGACTCAATACCGCGGCAAAGACAGCGAGAGACTAAAAGGCCAGCGCCGAGAGGCGTCGGTGGTCGCATCACCGCGGCTAGCGTCTCTGCGGCGCGCGCCCTTTCTCGGACGAGTCCGGCGTCGCACTCACCGAACAGCCTCCTGGACTCGTGCTGCTTGAGGTAGAGGTTGAAGGCCGTCTTGGACGAAGCGGTCACCACGCCCAGAACCGTGAGGGTGGCCGCTGCAGCTAGCGCTGCCGCCGCCATTCCTCGAACGCGACACTCCTCGGACGACCGCAGCGACGCGCTGTCATCAGCGTGTGCGCCACCGCGCAACCGCGCGCAACTGGCGCCGCCTGCTCCGATACACCCGGGTCGCGACCGTTTATTCAACTCTGGAGTCGCGACCCTAAGCGGCGCTGAAGTTGTGAACCTCGCGATCTTCGCCGCTGCGGTGCTGGGCGTCCCTTGGACCGGAAATTTTGGTTCCAGCGCCACGTAATCGAAATATACAGTGCGTTCTTTAGTCACTCGGAGAATGAGATCGGCAGGGTGTGTCCTTTTGTTCCTCCTGCACGTGCGCCAGGCCTTCCGCAGCACTTTGGAGACTTTGGATGCGCGCGCGCCCGCTCGAGGTGGACAGCCGAATCGAGACATTGGAGACGGCCGCCTCTGCCGTCTTGGTGAATCCCTCGGCGCAACGCGGTGCGCTGGCTGGATGGACGCGCGTTCTCTCGGACGCAGTCTGTCCCCGCCGATAAAGGAGGAATTGGCGCGCGTTGTTTAAAGGGGCGATGCAACGATTTTTGTATCTTGCGCAAATACCGCTTAGAACGGATCCCTGACGTTAATGACCTGTAAAATACCCGTTCGTTCTTCACCACAAACAATCGAAGTCGCAGCAAAAAATAAAGAAAGACGAGCAAGGTTTACCCCCTCAACTCGCAGCCAGAACAAGTGGCCACGTGATCTGAAGCCGATTATATGCCACCAATGTTGATCATAGCCACGCGCTGGGATTGGCAACGCACAGGACACGCGCTGAGTTCCAGACATCGTTATGGCTCGGCTGTTTTCGTCACTGCAGCGATTGGACACGGGACGCTACCCGAATGCTTCTCGAGCTAGTAGTTATCACGAGCCCAAATCGAGTTCCACGCAATGCTCGGGTCCAATCTATGTGCCTCATTCAAATATCGTCACTGGGCGGTACTGCTACCGCCTAGCTACGTCATCAGGTTTTGCGAAGGAGAGATTGAACGAAAACGCTCGGTTTTGTCCTCGAAATTACAGCGCAACAAAGAAGTTTCTTGGCCAGTGGCATTGCGTGCGAGTATCCTTGAGTCCCACTATAGTGCCAGTAAGCTCGTGTGAAGTGAAAAACATTTCAATTGAATATCGTTGCACCGCCCCTTTAAAATGCAATTGAGCAGAGCCGAATGCATTCTCCTATACTCGTTGTCATTACAAGAAATAAATGGAGTTTTGCTCATTGTTCATACGTCGCGCGAAGTAGTTGCTTGTTGGTATGATTGATACAGTGTTTCTGCGCGATCTGCTATACTGTCTGCCTTTGTGTTTTTGTTTTTTTCTTTGTTTAGTTTTTGGGGAGGAGGGAGCTCGTCAAGCTGATTTCTTCAACTTTTTTCCCCTACCTCCCACATCGCTCGGATGGAAATAAAGGCATTATTATAGTTCTTACAAGATTTAGTTGTCGGAGGAAGAAGTGATGCTTTTTTGCGTTTGAAACATCTGCGTCCGGCTTATACGATAACAAATTTCTAGTTTAAAATGCACCTAAATGTATCTTAAATCTCCACGTGAAGGAGGAAATTAGGAAGGCTCCGCGAGGATCCGAACCTTATTTTACTACAGTTCTTGAGGTGAAAACGAGTATAGACGCTTTGCAGCAACTGTGCATGGGCGCCGCCATAACTGACCTTCAGTTTTTGTTTCCTCTTATTTCGTTTGTTTCACTTCACCATTACCATAGCAGGCCAGGTTATTGCCACATTAGATTCAACTGTGTCCTTTTCTAAAGCATCGGCTTTTGTAGACGATCGTCAACTACCGTTTCAGTTGCTCGGCATCTCGGTAAGACAAGAGAAGGTCAGCAATGGCGGCTGTAATTTGGCGCGTGTGTAAAGCGTCTATAGCGAGGTACCTGGCGCGGCGGGCGTCGGAGGTAACCCTCCTCTCCTTCGCGTTATGAAGGCGATTACATACTACCCAACTGCCGCCACTAGCTGACAGGTTCAAGATGCTCCCTAATGCTTGTCAGACTTCAATGCCCGTCAGATTTCCCTGCCCACTAAACAGACTTCAATGCAAAATCTATATTTCACGAACGCACAGCGAAAAGTATGCTTGGGCCAAAACTCGACGCCTTTGCAATGCCACTTTCCCGCAGCGTTTTGGGGCATTTAGGGGCATGCTTTCTTCGCCAATAAGTTAGCAACGAAAGAAAAAAAAAAAAAAAAACACGAATGCAATATTTTGCGGCGCCTCGGAACGTCATATCCCACAGTGCACTTTCCCTGCCGGAGAATGAATGTGTTCCAAGTCTGGGTTTCGCGAGAAGAGCGGCACGTTACACTCGAGCATTGACCGACACGAATCCTAGAGAGAAGCTTGAATTTAATTTAAATGCGAGGGTGGTCGTTATCAAATCGATGTTTATTTGAAGAAGTGAAAAATTCGTTGCCGTAGTGCATAATAAATGCAGTGAAATTATTACGGACTGCACCGCATAATAAAATGCAGTACAACGCATGATTGAGGTGCATTTATACGTTAGAAGCTGCTATTTCCATCTGTTCATTTGTTTTATGAGATTTGAAGTCACTTTTAGCCAAATTAGAGGAAATAACTATTGTGTGAACGTTCCATGTCTAAAAACACCAATTCGAGCAAAAGAAAAAAGAAGAAGAAGAAAACAACAACAGATTTATTTTGATTTATGGATCAAACCGTCAAAGTGGAATTGCAATATATGAGAAACGGCTACATTATCGAATATTCTTAATCGAGACATATCTAGTTGCGGTTCGCGTGTTACTTAGAAACAGTTCCGTCATTGGTCCAAGTTTCGTGCTTCAACGGCAGCAAGATGTTTTACGAAAGCGCTAAAAACGCCAAGCAAGCGTCCTTCCAGTCACGGCCTCCGAGATTTTTCGCGCGTTGGCTGCTCTCCTCAGACCGTTGCATTCTCCGGTAGACTGTTACTGTGGGTCGCTTGGTGGCGCTCACAACCAAACCAAACTAAGACCCCTTCAAACCAAACGATACAAAGACACATCTGTCTACTTTCTTGTCCCTGTGCGCCCTTGTCTGTCCACTTTCCTGTTCCTGTGTTTCTTTTTTTGGCGCTTACCTACGTGATCATGAACCAACTGGCCCGAATTGCCGCTTGAATACAAAGAGATAGCGGCGAATTATCATCACCACCATTATCGCCGGTCTACGGAACTTGGGAGTAGCGCCGCAACACTCAGACTTTGGCAAGAAAGAAGGTGTAGAACAAATGTCCGTGCACGTAAGTGAAGGTCAGAAAGTTCTTCTCATGCGTGACGACATAAACATTTCTATACCTGTACCGCCGGCCCAGGCAAACAGTATCCGCAGAGAACAAATATAGATCTGCGCTAAATCTTGCATTCTGAGGTATCATCCAGCGAAACAGCGCAAAGACCGGAGCAGCGAATAAAAGTTACGAATCAACAAAGATAGACTTACCTGTCTCCATTCTGATGGCGAAAACAATGAAACTGCAAGCTTCGTGCCGCAGCCTCACACTTGACAGAGTGTTTTAAGGCGATTTAGTTTCTGTTTCAGGTTTGGTTATAAGTAGGGTTCGGATTTTTCAGTTTAAACAAATAACAACCGATAAAAGTATGCCGAATCCATTTTCGGAAATTCCGTTTTAATCGAAAAAGGTCCGTTTTTAGGTTCGGCATTTTCGATTTAAACCGATAAAACTTCGCTCCGTGCACCCTTGAGAAGTTCATTATCAAACCACAACTTCCGCAAGTTGTTTCAAAAAAGAAAGGTCGTTTCGCTGTGATTCCCTACATGCACAATATTCCGCGCACCGTTTAAGGTCTATCGCGTCCAAGTTCGACACGAGTATGGTTTTTTTCTTGTCGTATGCGCCTCAAACAGATGTGCAAAAAGGTTAACGGGAGCGACAGTCCCCGAGTGTGCAATGTAAAACATGCCAAAAAGTTCGTAGAATGCGAAGAAAGGAAGGTTTATTCGATTCCACTAAGCTGTGGCAGTCAGTACATTGAACAGACTGGGAGATGCGTCAACCACCGACTCAGAGAACACAACTTGGAAGCATCAAAGGCTTCAACTGAGTTGTATCACCCATTGTCGTTCACAGCCGCACATGCGATGACTGTACTCCTCATTTTTCTGATACTAAAATACTGGGCGGGCGCAACAACAGATTTGGGAGAAAGATCATCGAATCATTTGCCATGGAAACAACATTTCTGTACCTTCATTATCATTGACAAAGACAGAGGTCGAATTCTTAACACCAGAGATGACTAGAAAATTGACATCTCGTCGTGACGCTACAGCTTTTTAAACTCTAATATTTATAGTACAATTTCCTTTTTGGACTGCAAACAAGAATAATTCTGCAATACCACTGACAATGACAAAGGTTGAATTCTAAGTAATCGGAGATAACTACTGATGCGCTTTTCAAACTTTTTTTAGTGTATTCCCTTTCCTTTACAACTAGTATCTCCTTTCCCTCTTTGAGAGCGTTGAGACCCTTGGGGGGCGGTTTTATCGTTGTGCCATTCTATTATGTTGCTAAATGAAAGATGTCCTTTTCCCGTCATCGTCCTCTCTGTTTTATACTTTCAAGTTTTGTACAATTGGTTGTTTGGCTGATTTTGGCTCAGGCAGCGCTTCATGTCCTCAGCCTGCCAGCGTTCAGTGTTAGCGTTGAGAGGGCATTTTTGAAGCTCAGGTTCATATTAATAGGAAAGAAAAAGTGCAGAACAACCAGGAGTACCTGGGAAAGTACATAACGCTCCGTGCGGGAACTATAGGGGGCGCTTTGAAAAACGCGCGTGACGCCGCTAGCGGAGGAGCTGGCGTTCGACAGTGAGGCGCGTTCAGCAGCCTGCGGCGCCTTTTCGCATGTGAAGCTGTGGCGGCGGAAGTGCGCACGGACGGAACTTATGTTTTTTAAGCCGATACGTTGAGGGTGGATTTGCATGAGGGCTGGGGCAGCCCTGAGAAGGGCA